GATAGTACTTTACTGTTACTAGTTCTGCTTGTACATCCGCGTTGTCTTCTGTGTGTCCGTCAGCAACGTGTCTTCTGTCGTCGTTCTCGTCTCGAAATCTTGTCCTGTGTCCCCAGCAGCAGAATATTGGGTCATTGGTTGCGCGTCTCGGCAGCAGAGTGCCGCCTTCAGCGGTGGCAGCATACTTAAGGGCCAGTAGTCATTGTTCTCTATTGTCTCTCCACGAATGACCTCTACAGGCAGCCTTCATGCCTCCGGCCATCGTTTCCTCAGGTGACCGATCGCGCCCTGGGTGACGCAAGCATGTACATGCGTCTTTTCGTGGCCCTTTCCATGTGTGACCTCAGGCCCTGGGCGGTGGCGGTCTCTCGTGTTCTCTCTTTGTTATCCTGCTTCGAGGACGGCGCGAGTATTGGGCCCTCCTAGCAATAATAACCTAAATAAACTAAAGTACCTAAATTAAAGTGGCTAAACTAGAGTAAACTGAAATTAAACTTAAACGAATAAAACAAAATAATTAAATAAACTCAAATTAAGCTAAAATAGACTAAATTAAATGAACTAAAACTAAATTAAATTTATTTAATATCGTCCTTTGAATTCTGGTATAATTTCCTGCGTTTTCAGTTTCTTCATTTGTTCATCCATCAATTGATCTTCTGTTCGACGTTTACAGAAGAACATTTAAAATAAGATACACATATAGAGCATTTACGGAAAAGATGAATTTTTGGATATAAGTTCTTATGAAGATGGTCATGTGGATCATATGTAGAAATACCTGAAAACTGCAAATCAATTTGTCGAGAAAAAAATAACGTCCGCGACAGAATTCTCATATTTTTATTACTAAGATTAATAAAAAACTTTATATGATAGGTTATCTCTCTCAAACGTGCTCTAATTGGTTATTCAGCTGACGAATTTCTGTAGATATTGCCTTTTTTCAAGGTAATGATAAAATGAGATTGGATACTTCTGAAAAAAATTGTTTTATTTACCTGAACATGAACGGTTTAATTTGACTGGAGAAATAAAACTGTTGTTCCTCTTTATGATGAATTATTTTCCGCTATATTGGATTAATTCCAGGATCTGTTATATGCTTGTGAATGCGAAAAAGAGTGGCCAAATATATGGCCTTTTTTAAAATAAGTTTTATTTTTCTGTCTGTCCAGTTTCTAAATAACGCATAATCGGAACATATAGTCTACAAAAAAGTATATTTCTACATGACTCACATTTAAGAAGGGCCTTTGCGGCAACATTTATGTACACTTTGATTATGTGCCATCTAGGTTGATGCGGTAAAACAAAATACG